TTTGTTTGACCCCCTAAGGAACAAAAAGCCAAAGAAGAAACGGAACCTTTTTTCAGAAGTTTCCTCGTCCCACTGGGGGGGAGGGGGGACACCGAACAGGATGACAAACGAATCAACCTCTCCTCCCTCTCAAGAGGCAAAGAGGAGATAATCGTCAGAGCTTCGACTCAAAGAGGCTGAAGAGTCAAGACTACCGACCCGGGATCGAGACGCCAAGTCCCGAGGCAGCTCCCTGCGAACACGTGGCTCCAGGAGAAGAAGAAGGCATTCTTTGACTAAGTGGCCCAGTCATGGAAGTGATTATGAGGGTGTGATAGAGTGAGACCAGACCAGGGCTGGAGACCCGAGGGGAGTGGGTAGTAAGGCAGACACTGAGGTGACTCTGTCTCTTTGAGCCCCGTTACCTTTCACGCAGGGAGGGCGAACCATGTGCCTCTTTGTGCTGCTCTTCTTGAACTGTGTGGACTTGTGTGACTGGCAGGAATAGAGTGCTTTTTATCCGAGTAATTGAGAGCAAATGCCGCAGCCCTGCTCTGGGTTGGACTGCCGGACATCGTGTAAACAGCTTCCTTCATGCCCAGAAGGGAAGTGCAGGAAGGGAAGTACGGCGAAGTTGAAGGAGAGAGTTGGACCTGTCCTCGGCCATTCGGAGGTCTACATCAGGCGGCCCGGCCCTCAAGACACGAAACGTTATCTCCTTTTTGCAGACGTCCACCCAAGATTTGTTGGATTCCTCTCCCAGTTTTAGTGCCCCATTCCTGGCCAGAAGAAGTCAGCTGTCAGCCTCCAGCCTCTACGTTGTCCAGCCTACAGTGGCACCAATCGTCCCGTTAATCCTAGTCCCAGCTCTAAAGCATGACTGCAGGGTAGCTGTCATCCCAACTCTGAGCATTGCTGCCTTTCCAAAGAGGATGCTACGAACATGTGGCGGGATTGGGCGAGCACACACACCGCCACGCATGCCCAAGTGCTGCCGGGGGGTGTGTGAATTGCCTGTTTTGGGACTGCGAATCGACTTTGACCCTCTTGCTTTTGAATTCTTTACAACAGCCGGGTTTCTCTGTGGTTGGATTGAAGCTCGTTCCTACTTTGGATTTAGTATTGATCCCAGCCTTGACGTTGAAGGTATCTGTTTTGACCAGAACCACTGGAGGACTTACCTGCCTGCGCTGACTCTTGCCGACCTTCCATCTGTTTGACAGTAGAGAACATGTAGACACTGGAGGGAGCGGGAGGAGTCTGTGCACACGCTCCAATATGATTGGCTTGAACTTCAGCTTGCAGGAGCTGCTCAAAAAGCTTGAACAGGTATATGTTTACTGATCTTGGGATGTATTTTTGGTCTCACAGTGGCGTCTAAGTCTTTTTAACACCATGAATACAAGCACAGCCACCATTGATTCTCCGTCTCTCGTGTTTGTAGTTGTGGACCTAATGTATTCAGCTTCATAAGGTCTCAACAGTCATTATTGCACTCATTAAAACGGTATAATCAGTTCTGGCCTGCTTTGCTAGGTATTAGAGAGCGCGACCATGCAGAGAGAGAGAGTATAGAATGAGACCCAGAGCTTTGAATTAGGTCTAATTTGTCAAAGCAAACCTTTACAGTAATTGTGTTACTAAAGGCTAAAGACAAACATGGCTTCGCCCAGTAAGGGTCCTTGTTGTTTGTCAATGTGAAATACTTATTTTGGGCAAAAGTATCATCAAAAGGACATTTTGTTTTGTTGGGTGTATTTTACCTCAGCCACAGCTTAACTGTGTGTTTAATGCTTTTATTCTTCATAAAGCTCTAAGTAGTAGTTTTAACCTCGGTTAAAATTAGAGTGTGTGTCACTTGTCAGCTGTGCTCCAAGCAGCAGCCCACTGCCAACAAATCTTTATCACTCATTAAAGTGTGCATGAGATTCAGAACCCATTAACCTTTCAATTTCCCTCCCTGAGTTAGTGGTTCAGTTGAGTCAGTAGCTGTCCGTTTGTGATGTGTATGTATGAGTGCTTTTTATATTTTATGTTTATATATCATGTCGTCATTGTCTTCAGTATCTTCACGATTAGCCTAAAGCTGTTTGAGTTCATTTCTATCAACAAGCCCATGAATACATCATAGAATAGTGGCAAACACGAGACATTTTGTAGCTGACACGGTGACCTGTGGCACACAGATGTTTTCTGTTTTGTGTGTGTGTGTGTGTGTGTGTGTGTGTGTGTGTGTTAAAGAGCAAGAGACAGAAAGTGATCCATTACCACACTTAAGCCCCCCAGGACACACACTGACATACATAAACCACACTGGCTCAAAGTAGTCTTTCAGTGGGTGAAATGAAATTTAAAGGGAGCTTTGTAAATGAATACATATGTGCCTCTGTATGCCCACACAGTCTGTGTGCCTTCTGTGACGGTGTGAGAGCGTGTGCTGGTGTGTGTGCAGTCAGGATTACGTCCAGTGGAAGTAGAAGTGCTAAAGACAACGGAAAGGGAAGCACTTTGGTAATGACTTGAAACACGGCCAGCTGGCTGAGTGACAGAATGACTCTATCTTTCACTCTTTTGTCTGTCCTTCCGCCTTTCTTTTCCTATATGTCTGTCTTTCTCTCTCTTTCTGTCATTCTTACTGTCTCTTTCTCCTTCTGCTTGTCTGTCTCTCTCACTCTTCCTCTCTTCTATGACCTTTTAAGAGGCATTTGATTTGTGTCAAAAAGCCAGCGGGTGATTATCCTTGCAAATCACAGTGGAGGGATTTGCTTCAGCCTTTGTGAAATGGCTATTGGCAGTCAGTAAATTGCAGCGCGGTGCCACGGATGACTGTAGTAATTGATAGTTGTTTTGAGAGAAGTCTGGTTCTACTGTAACTGGATTGTATTTTGTCCGTTCATTTGTTCAAGAACACAGTTTACGGAGAAGCGGAGCTGTGTGGTCACACGGTCCGCTTACTGTACCACATGTTGTCATGTGCAGCTAACCTGCATCCACTCTGTGTCCCCCATGTGATGTGCAACACCCTCAATCCCTTCAAGGAGGCTAAAGTAGAGGAGAAGTCCCAGCGTGATATCAGTGTAATACAACACATGCAAAGTCAAATTTGGTCTGCACACGAGATGCAACAATAACGATACTGATACCGGACATCGGTCCGATGCTGACTCAAATTGCTGGATCCGGTATAGGTGACAATATGCCCATCTGTATCGGATACCATTATATTAATGAATAACAATTCAGTGCATTTATATCTTTTTATATTCGTTTGTTACGTGTTGTTTTACAAACTTGAAAAGCTATGTTAAACTGGAGCCGGATGTTGCCTTTCACATAAAAGAATGGTCACTTCCACACAGTGAGGCTCACAGCTTATTCATTAAACACAGGTATCGGATTGATATACTCTGTATCGCTACCCAAAGACCAGATATCGCTTTCGGTATTGGAGCTGAAAAATTCTGATCAGTGCATCCCTAGTCTGCACTTGCCGACAGGCTCCCTAGCTGGCGTGAACACGACTCTCCAGCATCGCAGCTCCAGTCACTTTGCGCGTGTGTCAGACACCATCATTCATGGTGTCTCCGCCTTCATTTAATAGCCTTGAATCCCTTGCTGGTAGGTATGTTTGTGTCTATATTTGTATGATAATGGGGGTTTCCATTACTGTATGTTCTCTCTAATATATGTAATCTACATGAGTAAGTATGCGAGTACATAAGTATATTGCTATTTGTGTGATTTGGCTGGTGATGAACAGTCACTTGTTCCGGGCACATTGGTTTTACAGAATTCAATTTGCAAACTTCACTTAATTTACTGATTTGTGAAAGCGGAGTACACTCTAATTGCCTCTTAATCACCTCTGTTGGTAATTGTGAATGTATTTTAATATTGCAGAGACTACAAGGAAACAGTGCAGCAACATTCCTTTCATTTTCCCAGATAAGGCAGTTTGACAGGAATTGTAGAAAGAAATGCTTGATTGATTTCAGTAATTTCCAATCTGTAATGCAACAATGTGATGGATACACGAACAACAACTGCAGGCACTGAAGATGGGTCATTTCACACACAATGACCTCAATATTTTGCATCACCATACTATGTATGCCTACTATATATGTCTCATTACGCTTGTCTTATCTGCACTCATTTCTTCCCATTTGCAAATCTATCTCTGTGCTGCAGGCAGTGTTACACTCGTCCGTGTGGTATTGGAGTCATTTCTTTATCTGTAGTTCAAATGGGTTGAACTGAAGGGAGTCACACCAGAGAGCGAGAGAGGGAGAGAGAGAGAGAGAGAGAGGGGAGAAAATGGAGCAGTTTTACACATCTAAAAATAAAACATTTGACAGGATCCTCTTCTTGCGTCATCCCCCCCTTGTGGTTCCACCCTCACACACAAACACTAACGCATACCCTTTGAGATGTGGTTGTGTAATAGTGCAGCCTTGTTAAGGACACTCATATACATGGAAAAATTGTACTTTGTCACATTGTAATTTAGTGGCATCTCGTAGCCGCAGACACACACAATCGCAGTGTTTTGGAATAGCACTGCAATACACTAGTATGGCATACTGTATCCCAGCATCAAATGATCAAAGCTTGATTTGGTGATGCTCTGGTTTAACCTTATGCAGCATTAGTATAGAGGCGGACATTGCCTAGGGACTTGCTTCTGGTTCGGGTAGGCCTTGGAAGTCAGTGAAAGGGTAGAAGCTAAAATCTTCTTAGTCAGAGTCAAAAAGTACCTTGAGGACATTTCATAAAAATATAAACTTCTCTGCCCCCTGGAAATGTGTGCGGTAAGCTGTGAACTCCCTCAAGATCAGTCCTTTACGACAAAATCCAACGTTATTTTCGGTTCTTAAACACTCAGCTGTTACAGCCTAGAAGACTCTGATGTCCACACTGTGGATGATTTTGTAATAAACCTGCTTGACTGACTGAGACTTCAGTTTACCTGAAGAAATGGGTCACTTGTGACAATTCTTTTTTCGTCTGTGTATTTGCAGGACATCCAGGCTGAGATCGATGCCCACAATGACATCTACAAGAGTGTGGACGGAAACAAGTCGAAGATGGTCAAGGCTCTGGGCAGCTCGGAGGAAGCTGTGTTCCTCCAACATCGACTGGATGACATGAACCAACGCTGGAGTGACCTGAAGACCAAATCTGCCAACATCCGGTCAGTGAAACTTCATCCAGTGCTTACAAGTGTGTTTGCTCCAGTGTTTGTGGTCAAGCAGCATGTCTTGGATTCATGGAAAACCACATGTGACATACTGCATGTTGTGGAATATTTAAATAGGTTGTTGCGTTTCCGGTCAGCTGTATGGATACGGTAGCTCCTGTGTTCCACATGTCCGCCATGAAGCACAGGGATGAGATACAGCTCCAAAAGGACATCATGGCTGCCACAGTGGCACATAAACTTCTGAGGACGGAGACAATGCCGCGTCAGCTGCAACCTTGGCATAAATAAATAAGATTGGCGATGCAGAGGGTGAAGAAAGTGAAGGTGGAAGTGAAGTTGACAGGGCCAGATGGAGATGAAGACAACAAGGAAGAGGGGAGGCTGGAGAGAAGCAGCAGAAGAGCACAACAAAGCTTCAGGGGCAAGGGGAATGGTTGGAGAGGTTGAAGAGGCTGAAGAGGGAAGGGAGGGGAAATAACAAAAGGTGCAGGAAAGGATTCTTCCCTGGAAAGTCCTTGGGTCAAGTTCAAGCAGTGCAGACGTAATGGGCTGGACATGTTCCACAGGAAGACAAGCGAGAGAAAAATAGACAGTGAGAGATCTGTCTGTGTGGGAGATGGGGCACCAGGTTTGTTGATTGTAGCCCATTATGCCTTAATTGCAGTACATGTGTAATTATGGCTAACTCAGCGAGCGGCAATAGGAGGTCTCTGTACACTGTGTTCAGAAACATTATGCCTAGAGGAAAACTAAAGTGCTTATCAACACACATTGCATGCATGCTACCACCCACACAATTATCGTCTAACTTGTGTTCCCCTTTATGAATAAAATCTACCACTCGAGTGGTCAGGGATCAGGTTTTTACAGGGCTTCTGTCGTAATAAAGTTGTTTTCGTTGATTTCTTCTTTTATGTTTTTGTAAGCTATGCACTTTTTAAAATCATCAGTTTCCTGGTTCTTGCTTTGAAGAGGGTCTCTGACCAAAAGCTTGCTATATAAAAAGATTTTGCACCGATTTCAGTGCGAGGATGCTTTTTCTTAATTAAGCACATGAGAGTCTATAGCTCCAGCATCTCAACAAGTCTGATACCGGGTGAGCTGTGCTCTATTCTTTATACAGTGGGTACGGAAAGTATTCAGACCCCTTCAATTTTTTCACTCTTTGTTTCATTGCAGCCATTTGCTAAAATCAAAAAAG